CCTCCCGAAACCCCCGAATCCCGCCGCACCAACCTCTCCGGCCCCGGAGCACGTCCCCCTCCGGGCTGCCGCGGGGCTGGTGGCGTAGGCCGCCTGGAGAAGTGTCGCAAGGACCCGTTCGGAGACTTTTTCAGCTGATTTTCTCCGCGCAGTCAGACCGTCGTTTCTGACTCGGCTTTGCCACCCCCCACCATCCCCCCCCGGAGCCATCTGGTGCCCCTCGCGCTTTGTAATTGCCTAAAATATCTACGGAAAGACCGGAGATATTATGTAACGCGCTCGGGCGGTGGGCTGCGGGGCCGCGGTCCCTCGGGACAGCGCGTGTGGCCGTGGGTTAGTAATCCGTCTATGCTTTCCCCCCCCCCCAGGACTTCTGCTTCAAGTTGATAGTGACTTTAGGTGTGATAAATAATAATAATAGCATGTAATCTCTCCCCTTGCTACCCCCTTACTTCTCTTTAACCCGTGGTGAAACTTTGAGAAGCGGCGTGGGGAAGTGACTGGGTGCAGATCTGGATGGAAACAGTGGTTTCCACCTCTTTCGCCCAGCGCTGCCGCCGTCCTGCTCTCGGCGCTGGCTGGAAGAGCAGAGGCTTTTCAGCGCCTCTGAGGTTTTGAACTCCCCTTGGGGACCTCATTGCTCTCCGTGCCCACCGGTGGCCGCGTCGGAGGCCGCCCTCGACTCCCGTGAATGCTGAGGGGTCTGTCTGCTCCTGCAGGGTCAGCCCCAGGCCCGGGGCTCAACCCGCAGTCTCTGCTCAGTGGAGATAATAGTCTCTGACTTCTTGCTTGGAAATCTGAATGGGATTTCGGTCGGTGCCGTGGTCGTGTGCTCCTTAAATCACAGCTGATTTGTCATCCCGCAGTTCAGGGTCCGTGCCTGGGTCGGCAGCAGAAGAGCTGCGCTCCGGTGGGCTCTGTGGGCTCCTGCCTTTTCTCTTTCTAGTCTCATCTAGACGGCTTATTTCAAGTCACGCTTTAGAGAAAGACTCAGACATGACTGTGGGTAACAACAGCAACTTGAAATAGTGAATTTACATATATAAATGAGTGTGGGAACGTTCAGGCGCAAAGTGCCTTGTGATCACTGGGAGGAGGAAACTTCCCATGGTGGCTGTGCCAGCACGGCGCGCTTAAGGGTTTGGTGAGCTCGGAAACAGGTTGCTGGGATGGAAGGGTTTGTCCTCGCTTGCTCGGGGATTGTAATTAATGCTCTCGGGGGCGGAGGGGTGCCACAGAAGAGGACAAAAGGTTGGATGTGTTTGTGTGAGTAACGTGTTGGATGAGCCGCCGCTGTGGTATGTGTGGAGTGGGTTTGCGAAGGGCTTCCTCAACGAAGCGACGCCTGTTGCAGCAAAACCTGCCTTTTCCAAAGGGCTGGGGCACTTCTCGGCCTCTCTCAGAGGTGAGAGAGATTTTAGCACTCCCACAATTATTTTTTTTTTTTTAATGAAGAAGTTAATTTATAAGTAAATCGCTGGATTTAACTCCTTCCTGTGGGACTATATCATTTGTGGAGGAGGAAGGAACGAAGGAAGCACTGGCAGTGCGGTTCTGGGGCTGCCAGGCTGCGTCTTTCCCCCTTCCCTGCCCCTCCATCCCCTCTGCAGCTCAGGGACCGTGTCTCCACAGCGGGGGAGGCGGAATGACTTCCTAGGAAGGATGCCGCAGAGACAAATTACAAATAGTTTTCTGTGGATGGACGTTCGGAGTAGGGAGTTCGTGGCGTCTCCCTTACAGAGCCAAGAGGCTGAGGAGCATCGGGAGCCGTTCTTTAATGTGTTGAGTAGTTTGTCATTCTCCTGCTGCGTTTCTTGTGGTGTGGCTCTTCTTTTATTTCACATTTAGGGGCGCGTCATTGCTCCGCTGGTGCGAGCCCCAGGGCTACTGCTGTTTCAGACACACAGGCCTTGACAAATACCACTTGGCACCGGGATGCGGAGTCCTTCCAGTGAGAGCATCCCGGCGAGGCCGATCTGGAGCAGAGCCTCCTGCGTCCCATCCCACCGGAGGAGCCAAGCGGTGCTGTGCTGCCACTGAGCCGGTGCCCCCCGCCGCTGGGCTGGGGACCGCGATGAGTTTTAGGAGCCCCACGGTGCAGAGCTAAGCTGTGAGTGAGCTCAGGTCACCCGCGGCAGTCGCTTTAGCTGATGCTGTTTCTTCCAGCAGTGCATTACTCATAACCTGCTGTTTCGTTAAGAAAACTGCTGGTCCGGTGTGTCGGGGCTTTGACGTACTGGTTTGAGGCTGAGAGGAGCTGCACTTGTCCGGCGCTTGGTCCGCGTCCCAGGGAAGGGCTCTCGGGCTGCTCCGGCCTGGCGCGGGGCAGTCGCACTGGATGGAGGAGCCCGTCCTGTCTGTGGCACCAGCGATGGCTCAGGGCTTCCCCTTGCCTTTTCCTGCAAATTCACATATTTGCTTTCCCTCTGCTATTCTTCTGCCTGCTCTGCGGCGAGATACTGCTGCCCCATAGGAGAATAGCCCCAAAGCAGCGCCCTTGTGCAGCAGGAGAGGTTTATGGGCAGTCTCTCCTCGGGGACCGTCAGTCACAGTCCCTTCGTGCCTCAGTTTCCCCAACCTTTAAGGTTTATCCTAATAAGTTGCATTGAGTCGCTCTGTTTGCAGTGGGTCCGGAGAGGGTCTCCGAGGAGCAGGGGCTCTCCCCTTAGCCGAGCGAGGGGCGCTGACTGGTCGTCCTCCTCTGGTCCTCGGTGCTCCTGGGATGTTTTCTGCCCCCATCCCAACTCCTGTGGCCTTCCCGAAGGCACAGCAAGATGTTGAAGGCCGTCAGTGCTGAGCAAAACAAAAAGTAATGCGGTGTAATAGAGACCAGATGTCTTGGTGAGGCTTCATCCTGTCCTCCTGGTTGTTTGCCAGGGCTAATATTTCTTATTCAAGTCAGGCAGGAGCGAGACTTTTCTTTTTTTTTTCCTGTAAAGCCACAGCTCTGTTCCCGTAGATTTCCCTCTGCTTTTGTCCCTTCCTGAAGGAACTGCGCTCTCGAATCGCTGCACCGACACGCGGCTGCTTCATCGGTACTTTCTGTGCTAATAGGGACTTCCCTTTATTTCATATTTAATCACCGACTTCAGGGCCGTTCCACCAGAGAGAAACTTGGCCCGTTATGGCTGTGGGTGGAGGATGAACCACATGAATTCAGCTCAGCCTGTTTTCCAGACTGGATTGCTTCATTGTGTGCAGCTGATGGGGTTTTTATCCCTGTTGAGACCAGCGATTTGGAATAGGGGAGTTATGCTGAGCCTCGAGAGGTAAATAGTACGTTGTGATATGTTTAACAAATGGTGATGTGAATCACGGAAAAATGCGGAGAGGTGCAGGAGGCGGGGAGTGAATTCCCTCGCCGGGATTCTTGGAGAACGTTAGGAGCAGAGACGTGTCCTTGGCGGGCTCCGCGCGGCCCCATTGCCGGGATGTCACCGAAGAAGGCGGCTGTGTAAGTGTCGGGGGGGGCTGAAGAGCAAAATAGTAATAACAACCAAAAAAAAAGCAATGCACTGATTTAAAAAAAAAAAAAAGCAATGCATGGATTTCAAAGCCGTGCCTGCGGTGCAGAGGTAACCCTGCAGGCCCGTGGGTGGATTTATCTTGCGCAGTTCCTTAATCCAAGTTTAACCCACTCAGCAGTTGCGAGCTCTGGCCGGTCGGCTCCTCTCCGGTGCGGAGCCGGCGCGCGCCCCTCCGGGCATGGCCGGCCGGCTGACGGCGGCGAAAGGATCGGGGAGTTTGGGCTGGCGGTGGGAGCGGCTCTGCTCGCGGTGACTCTGCCGTGCGACGCGGGCGCCTCGGAGCCATCGGGATACCTTGTGTGAGTAGGTCAGGTCGGATCCAGCCTCTCCTGCGGACGTGGAGGAGGTTTAACGTTTCGAATTGCAGCGGGTGCTGTCATGCTGCGCCAGGCTTCTCCTGTCTGTCCCATGTTTACGGGGAGGGAGGTTTAACGGGATCCTACGCGGTTTTTCTCCCTCTACAGCCCAGCGAGGGGATGTCAGAAGTGTTTCCCTGCGTCGGATAAACCAGTCGGAGCTGGGAAAGCCCTCTGCGGGCAACCGAGCGACCCGGGATCGCAGGTGTGTGGCCACGGAGCTGCGTCTGGGACTCCGGCATATGCCAACGCTCTTTTTTTTTTTTATTATTTTTCATCAGTTTGTCATGCCAGTGGTCTCGATGCGAATATTTGAAGGACCCCAGAAGTGCTGGCACGAGCAGAGCTCTGTGCGAGACTCTTCCTTGGACCCGGCTCCGCTCCGTGCCTCTTCAAATCCCGCCGGGTTATGCCGACGGATCTCCTTTTTGCCGGCATGGTGTTAATTTAAAAATTAGATCGTCTGGGCTTTCGTGGGGCAAGGCTGGGCTCACTGAGAAGGAAAAACAACTTCCTTCGGCTCGCAGGGTCTTTAGGATCTAATGACCACAAATATTTGAAGCACGCGGGATTTGTACCGAAGGGAATGGCAAGCACAGAGGAAAACGTTGTGTCTTGCCGCTGTGCGGACGGGGTGAAAGATGCCATTCATATCGGTTCAGACTGCTGAACTTTGGTCAGGCTTTTTTCACCTCGTAGTTAGAACTTAAGTGCTTTGAAAACAAGAGGAGGAAACCGGTCTCTGGGAAGCGGTGCTGGCATCTGGACACGCCGGCCTCGTTTTTACTCCCCTGGAATATTTAGAAAGAAACGCCGTGGGTTTCCTCGCCCCTTTCTCCCGCATCGGGAGCCGTAATCGCTTGTAAAAATAAACAGATAAAACAAGGTCATTAAATTAACGGGGAAATACCTCGTTGCGAGACCCGCTGGCGCAGCCTCTGCGGGCGAAAGGGGCCGGGGGTCGTTGGGGGAACAGACAGGCAGAAAATGGTTCAGTGAACTTCTTTTCCAAAGACAGTAATTTTTTCCACCGTGCTGGACGTGAAAAGCAGGAGGGAATTGGCAATCTGCTTGCAGTGCTTAACATTTGTAAAAGGCATTGTGCCCTTCTGCTGATCATGAGCTGTCTTGTTGTAGCGTATGAGCAATAAAGGGAAGCAGTCGGAGCCGCAGTAATGATGTTAGGTTGAATAGAGTGCCTTATTTTATTTTTAGAGGACGATTTCACTTGGCACTGGCCGCCTTTATTCTTGCTGGTTATCCGTAGAGATGCACCGCTGCTCTTTTTATTGAGATGAGAAACCAGGAAGTGTGTTCAACCCCTCGTTTATCTTATTCTTAAAACATAATTAAGTGCTAATCATTGGCGAGGATACGTAATCTGGGCAGTAGTGTCTGGACTTTGAAAACCGGGACCTTGTTGCAACAAACTTGGTTCTTGCTCCGGCTCTCTGCTCGCCCGGCCCCGGCGGGGGATTTCGCCACCAAAGCTCCGTGTGCCGCCGTCGCCCTCCGTCCCGAAGGAGGGCACGCGGGCAAAACCTGAGCGCGGGGGTGAACGTCACCTGCTCTAGCGAAAAGCAGAGCCGCTGGCTCCGCGCGGCCCTCGAGTCCCCAACCTCGCAGAGTGCCTTTGGGGTGGAGAGCGTAGAGCAACCTGGGTTGGTTTGTTTTCCCCCCTCTCTTCCTCTTTTTGGCTCGCTCTTTTTTTTTTTTTTATCGTCATGGTAACGGGGAAATTTTGTGTAATGGCTGATAGATGCTTACAGCTCTCTTTCAAGTCTGAGTGGAAGGGGCACCAAGAAGAGCTTTAAAACCCAACGTGACCAGTTTGGGGTTGCGCTGGGCCGGCTTGCGTTGCGGGCGTTGGCTTGGGGCGCCTTCCCTCTCTAGACAGAGGCTTTTTGAAAAGGTTCGCGCCAACCCTCATCACCCTCATCTCGGCTCCCCGTGTCCCTTGAGGTGTATCCCAGCATGGGTTCCTCTTCTCCCACTTCCAGGCTGGAAGCAGGTCTTCCCCGCAGACTGTGTCTCTGACGCTTTTTTTCTCGTGTTTTCTTTTCAGCTTTGAAGCGCGCAGACCCGCCACTGCTATGGGAGACTCTGTTGTAGACCCAGCCCGAGGGACAGGCTCGGACCAGGCGCCCGGCTCAGCGCCCCAGGGGAATGGCGGGACGTCCCTCAGCGTCATCACGGAAGGCGTTGGGGAGCTGGCGGTCATCGACCCCGAGGTGGCGAAGAAAGCCTGCGAAGAGGTCCTGGAGAAGGTCAAGTTGATGCACGGCGTCTCCTCCGACAGCTTATCAAAACCGGCCGATGGCAGCGAGGCAGAGCGCGCCCCACGGACCGCGGTGGACTTGGCCAACGGAGACATGGGGGAGGGCTGTGAAATCAAGTGCTTGGACGATCCGCCTGGTGTGGCCTCTAAGATCCAGGAGGAGGACGAGACCATGGCCAACACGGTGAAAACCGCCCGGAAGCGGCAGAAGAATAACTCCGCTAAGCAGTCCTGGCTCCTCCGGCTCTTTGAATCCAAACTCTTTGATATCTCCATGGCCATTTCATACTTGTACAATTCAAAGGAACCTGGTGTGCAGGCTTACATTGGGAATAGGTTGTTCTGCTTTAGGAACGAAGAAGTGGACTTCTACCTGCCACAGCTGCTGAACATGTACATTCACATGGACGAGGACGTGGGAGACGCGATCAAGCCCTACATTGTGCACCGCTGCCGGCAGAGCATCAACTTCTCCCTGCAGTGTGCCCTGCTGCTGGGTGCCTACTCCTCGGACATGCACATCTCCACTCAGCGACACTCCCGCGGGACCAAGCTGCGGAAACTCATCCTCTCGGACGAGTTGAAGCCAGCTTACAAGAAGAGGGAGCTGCCGTCGCTGAGCCCGGCGCCCGATATGGGGCTGTCTCCTTCCAAAAGGACTCACCAGAGGTCCAAGTCGGACGCCACCGTTACCATCAGCCTGAGCAGCAATCTGAAGCGCACAGCCAGCAATCCCAAAGTCGAGAGCGAGGAAGAGGTAATGTTGGGGCTCTCCGAGGCTCAGCCTGCCTGGGAGGGGATGCCCCCGGGGCCGTGCTCGTGCCGGTGGTTCTCATCTCACAGCTCCTCCTTTACCGCAGAGGTTTTTTTGTCCTAGTCGCTGCAAATGATTGAAGTTTGGATTCCCGTGTCTCTAAGCAAACTGACACACACCGGTGGGTCGCGCTGGAGGGCGCTGGGGCTCCAGAGGGGCAGTTTTCTCGCCGTGAGGGGAAGGGAGGGCATTAGATGGCTTCAAGGTAAGGCAGAAAGCTGGTCCGGAGGACTGAGTCACTCCCTGCGCTGCTGAATTCCCACGCGATTTGGGCAACACGGCCGGCGTCTCTGTTTTGCAATCTGTAGCCATCTGATCTCTGTTGGAAATCTGATTTCCTTCTTGTCCCGACTTGTTCAGATTTAGCAACGATGAGGTTTATTCGCAGGCAGAACAGGTCCAGGGCAGCCGGGAGCAGGAGGGGAGCAGATAAACGCATTGGCCCTGCCGTCCCCGTGCCCCGGCCAAAACGAGCCTCTGGGGCACGCACCCCTCTGGCTGTAGGGCCGAGAGCTGCAGCCGTGGGGTTTGTCCGTGGCTGCCGCCCCGTGCCCAGCTCTGCTCTGGATTTCTGTCTTATTTTTTGGCAGCTCGGAGGCGGTGGAAGGCCAGGCTTTCCCTGCTGAAGGGGCCGGGCTGCGCGGAGGAGACACTTCCAGTTTCCAGGGTTGGGCGCTAATGCGGTTTAATGCCAAAGCAAACGACGATTAAATAGGTGAACTCGGGCATACGCGTGCTGCACGTCTTCCAAACCCCAATAGCCCCCGTGGGCTTCGTGGCGTTTAAGTGTGGAAAAGTTAGCGGCGTGAAGTTGCTTTGGCTTTGGTGCTGAGCTGCGGTGTCGGCGCATGCCGAGAGACTCTGTGCCCGCTCGCCGGAGAGTGAGTGTTTCTCCCAGAGAAAATGCAGATTATTCATTTCACACATCTGCTGACACAGAGGCTTTTGGAGCAAAAGGATGAGCAGCATCCTTGGTAACGGGGACTGGAGGCTGGCGGGAAAAGAGCTGGAAATGGGAATTTTTTATTTTACTGCGTTGTTTTGAAGGGCTGATGGCTTTTAGCGTGAGCATCAGCCTGGGACGGTGAGCAACGCAGGGCTGCCATGGGAGGCCAGAGGAGGTGAGCTGGTGCTAAATGCAGATTTTATGAGCGGTTATAACCAAATCGGAGAAAAGCAAAGCCTCTTCCCCTGCCCTGACTCAAGGAGTTGAAATACTCCCCCGGGGAGGTGGTTCGCCTCTCCGGCAGGGGTGGCTCGGCAGGTTGGGAAACGGCTCGTAAAACCGTGGTACCAAAGGTCCGGTCCCGGCGGGGCTTCGGCCGCCGTGCAGATCAGCCAGGCTCCACGCGGCGCCTTCCCTGGGTCATCCCCGTGCCTCGTGTGGACGAGACCTTGAAAGCCGACTTCCCCCCGGCTCCGTCTAGACATTCGGGATCTCGTGACCATTTTTGTAACGGTGGAGTATTTCTTGGCTTTCCGGCCCTGCCCGAGATTCCCCCTTTCCCTCGGCTGCGCGCTGGGTTATAAATCGTTGGAAGGAGCCACGTGGTCTCCTGCGTCTGCCGGACTCAGGGGAGGCTCCTTTGGATAAGGATTTGAAGGAGGTTTCGGAGGCGTGAAGCGGCAGTCGTCTGGGCTGGTTTCAAGTTAAAACCACCCTGTCCCGCTCCCTGTGGTTCTCCGGCAAGAACCCAGCTGCGAGCGGGGGTCGCGGCGTTTGCCGATGGGTAAATGAATCTTTCATGTCTCTGCCCGTCGGCCGCTCGGTGGAAACCAACCGGCTGATGGAGAGCAGGACGCGC